AGACAGTATTATTATGACCATCTAATTTGGCTTTTTATTATCCTGTTTTGACATCCCATAGACGGATAGAGTTATCATTACTACAAGATGCTAATGTATTTCCATCAGGAGAGAAACATATTGATTAAACAGTGTCAGTATGGCCATTCCATTTGGCTATTTTTTTCTTTGTTTTAACATCCCACAAATGTATAGACTTGTCATAACTACCAGAAGCTAATATATTTCCATCAGGAGAGAAACAGACTGAGTAGACAAAATGAATATGACCATAAAATTTGGTTTTTAATTATCCTGTTTTGACATCCCAAACACAGATATACTTATCTCTACTACCAGAAGCTAATGTATTTCCATCAGGAGAGAAACAAACTGATCTAACATAATCACTATGACCGAATAATTTATTTAATTCAGGGATTCTTAAGTTTTTCCATTAACAATTAAATAATAATGCTTCATTCAGATTTATTCCACTTATGTTGACATCATTAAATTAGGATTCACAAAAATTACATCCAAAAAAATTAGCTCCTTCTAACGAAGTTTTTTAGATCTTTATTTTTACAAAATTTTTGTTTCTAAGGTCCACCTTCATCTAAACTAATAGATGAAATGAATTAGACCCACATTATATGAAAGTTTCATCAATTGATGTGAGGTGAACTAAAAATTAGAGAAATCCTTTTATCCTTCTATTATTTTTGATGAATTTAATTAGACTAAATGTAAATTCTTCATTTTTCTCAGAAGAAAAGTCTTTTTAATTGAAGTCATGATCTTTTAATTTTCTTAAAACATCTGTAATTTACTTCATGTCATTTCTAACATCAGACAATATCTATTCTGTATCAGTTTGTGTGAAATTCCTTACTTGTTGTAAAATCTGTGATTCTAATTTTCTCTGATTCCCCATGTCTGATAGATATCCAATGCAGTCTTAAACTTTTTCCTTTCGAAACATTTTTAATAAAACCCCAAAGATTTGCTCATCAACATTTTTGACTTAAGCTAAGATGTCACCTAGAGCTTCCTTCACTTAAAAAGAGCCTTGCATTTTATTTTTTATTTTTAATAATGAATTTATATTACTCTAACTTTAAGTTATATACTGTAACATCGATAATAGTTTCTTATGCATTTTTGTAATATAGAAGTTAGAACTTTGTTTATGTTTGATTTTATTAGATTTAAGTGATTCTATTGAGAATTCATTTCAACATCTGCATTACTTGATTTTTTAATAATATAATAATTCATTTATTTTTCTTGTTTATCTTTAATTTTTAAGCTAAATGTTTTAAGATTGGTAATTAGATTGTTGGATTTCTAGTTGCAGTTTTATCTAAGATTTAATATATATTTTATTTCTAAAACTTAGTATAACTTTTAAATAAAGTTTGTCACCTCTCAAGAGAAATTGAAACAAAGATTTTGGAACGAATTTTACTTCTAAAATATTAACTACTGTAGACGTCTCCAAAACTAACAAACAAAACAAAATAATCCCCCAAACATCCAACACCTTAGGGGTCTTAGACTTAGAAACCTTTTCACCCTTTTGGCTATATCACTCTGATAAAGTATAGACCTCCCAAAACTAAAAAACAAACCCATAAAACCCTCCCATCCAACACCACTGGGGTCATCTCCTAGCCGGTAGTCACTTTGCAATTCATGTGCTAAAGTAAAAAAGTGGCAATTTTTTAGAAGGCCAAAAATTACTTAAAAAGAATTATATTTCAAAAAAAGTAATACCCCCCATTTGAAAAAAGCAAAAGTAAAAAGTGAGGAAATACTGTTATCTTAACATATCACAATTAAAATTAAGTAAATTCAACTTAATAATCAATCAAGTTATATTTTATGTTAATTAATTTTTAATGAAGTTTATTAATGCAAAAACATTAGAAACTATCATAATAATAGTATTATTTCTAAATAAAAAAATGATTTGCAAGCAACTTAATTTAAATTTATATTAATTTAATTTTGAATTATTCTTAAAAAAAAAATCTTAAAGGATTAAAAAGATTTAGAAAGATTTATAGCATAAGATTTGAAAATGAAATCTAAGGTAAAATCATTTTATTTTATCAACTTATGCTCTTTATAAATCTGATTAATAAAAATAATTATATAAATTTACAAAATTGGTATATTGGATTAAAAAGAATTGAGAAATTATTATTTTTTTAATAATTTATAAAATAATATTGTTATCAGTCCAATATATTGAATTTTATATAGAGCTTGATTTTATCATATTTTGCTTTTTTATAATAAAAAAACCTCAATATATCAAAATTTTTGATAGCAAAAATTCTAATTGTTCAAACATATAGACTGATTTTCTATTTCTAGAGAATTAAAAGGTTTGATTTACAAATGATTCTTTTTTCTTTAATTTATAATTCTATTTTTTATAATTAATCACCAAATTTTTTCTCTTATATATAATAAATTTTTTAAATTTCTTTTTAA